TGACTGCATTTACAGACAGGTTTCCAAGGTATCTACACTGCATAGTTAGCCTCAGAGCATTCACCAGTGGATTAGCGACCGCAAATGTTCATTCCCAGCCTGGCTCCGATCTGCACGTCTGCTCCCTGTCCTCCCTCTCCGGCCCTCCTGCATCTGGAGTCTCTCTCCAGCTTGTGTGCAGACAGGGCGAACTCCAGAGACGTCAGGCTGAGCAGGTGGGATTCCCTGTCCCTGAAAACTCAACCCAAGGCCAGAGAGGAGCAATCCTCTACTGTGAGGGGTTCTCACAGCTAATGGAAAAGAGGAAGGTGCTTTCCCAGGACAAGCTCATCAGCTCAGACAGGCAAAGCTAGGCGAAGTGGGAGTCCCCACATCAGTCCTGCGGCCTCCCAGGAAAGTGGGGGTTTCTAGAAAGCGTTCCGAAATGGGAACATGACAATGAATGGAGCGACTCCTCCCCGCGCCCTCAAATGGCACCACTTCCTTCTCAGACGGTGGGAAGAAGCAGAGAGCTTTGCATTGCTGTGAAGCAGGAAATGAACACCCCCCCCTTCAGCTGGTACCCACTGTGCATGCAGTGCGAAGCTGGGTTTGGGCCTCCTTACTCGGCCTTGGACACGGGACAGGGAGAGAAGACGGGGAGAGGAGGACGCAGCACCAACAGGTGTGGTCAGCCTGGAGAAGTCTTTGGGTCCGGGGACTCCCCGAGATGGGCAGAGAGAGGCAGTGGACTCAGCTCAAGGAGCCGCTCTCCAGCCGCCTGGCCAGGCCCCTGGCTTCCCACTTCCTGGCGGAGGGGGTCGGGGGAGGTGCCCAGAAGGAAATGGGCCTGGCGGAGGAGGGGCTTATGATTCATATTTTAAGTTTATGTTTTAATTTACATGCAGAAAAATTAACTTTTTTTGGTGTATAGGTTTTTGAGTTTTGAGAAAGACAAGCGCCCGATCGCGAACAGTTCCGCCGAGCGATGGAGGGGGCGTTTGCAATCTCCCGGCCTCTTACAGCTGCGGCGGTCGTCCGTGCTCCCCCGGGCCGCAATAACACAGTCCCCGTGCACTCGCCGAGATGAATAACGACAGGTGGAGCAGGTGAGTCTAGCGGGACCCGGGTGGTTAAATTGAGTGAGGAGGTATTTTCGCTGAATTTTATGCAGTAGCTATATAGCAACTATATTATTATGATAATTATTAATTGTCACTATTTTTAATTATTACTATTGTTGTTTTAAAATAGATCTCACCAAATTGCTTAGGCTGACCCCAAACTTGTAATCCTACTGTCTCAGCCTTCCCAGAAAATGGAATTACATATACACTCCACCAATCTTCACACTATATTGATCTTGAAATTCATCGCTTTACTGTAATGGAAAATGTCTATACAATTTTAATAGAAACAAGCTTTTCTTATTTTATTTTCCTCTTTTATTGATTCTGAATGTTTGGGCAGAATTATTTGAAGCTTTTATCTCATAATACTGCCAGAGAAACACGTGTGTACACATACACACATTTATTTTGCTACAGGTTTATTACATGATGAATTTATAAGTGTTAGCATTACTTTCAATAACAAAACCTAAAATAATTATAACTATTTCTTAGCCTACCAGAATATGTAATACCACACATTTCCTTTCCAGTTTCTACTGATCAACCCCTAATTCAAGATCTGGGTTATGTGTATGAGCATATTTAGCTTCTGCAAGAATTTGGTTTGAATGTTTTAATAATTACTGTGGCTTATTGGTGATTATCACCATTTACCTGTATACTCCATATAGGCTCATATCATTTGAAGCTTAATTACAATTTGAACTTTAAAAAAACATGCCAGTTCATTTGCTGTAGAGCCAACCACCATGCATTTAATATCAAATTTAAATCTACCTTGAAGGGAAAATTTAAATGCTCACTGTGGACTGTAAGAAAATCCATTTCTGATGGTGAATTTATATCAGTCCACAGGGAAGCTGATCAAGGCACAGTTGACTAATGACTATCATTTCAGTTTATTTCATTAGTATTTAAGTTATATGTAAAATACATTCCCTTTGGTGCTCTGAAAGTCAATGATTTACATACTTAGGGGTAAAGTTTTTCTTGGGATAATGCTTGAGATTTAGTAGCTGAGAGAAGATTTTTCCTATGCCTACCTAGACCCACTTATTCAAAAATAAATATTAACTTTAATAAAACAGCTTTTAATGCTTTACCACCATCCATTAAAATAAAACTAATGATGCTGTCATCTGATAGTCTTCGTGCCCAGGTAATATTCTAGTAAAGCCTTCTTTTTGTTGGAAGCATTTGGTAATTTTCCACCAAGAGTGCACTTTGTATGAGTTATATGCACTTTGTTTATATAGTAGTTGGTGAAACTCTGATTTGCAAATTAAAGAAAACAGATGCTGTGAAAATAAGAATAGATATCCTTCCCAGCAGTTTCATATAAAAGAGATCTTTTTATTCTCTGGGTTTAAAAACAAAAGAAAAATTTGCGATACTTGGAAGTCTGACCTCATATATGGCTCCATTTTGTGATATATGAATTTTGATTCTAAAAGATATTAAAGGTGAAAAGAGCAAGTTGTGGGATCAACTATTGCACACTAGATGACTTTCTGTGCTATGAGGGTTCCAGAAGAATAAAATTTTTGTTCTTGGAATCAAGAAGGAAAACAGATAAAGCCTGAGTGTCTCCATAGGCAGCAATACAAGCTGGCTCATGCCACAGGCCAAACAGGCAATACAATGAATCAGCATTGTAGGTGGAGGGTGGATAGAAAAGTTATGCTTTACTCACAGAAAAAACAATCAATAGAATCAGAAGCTTATATCAGATACTATCACACAGTTTCCTTGAATATAAACATTTGTATGTGCAAAATTCTTTGTAAGAATGGAATAAAAATATTCAATATGCTTTTGAAAACATTCAAGTTTGCCTTCTAAGGTCAAATTCAAACAAAAAAATGAGCATGCTTCATTTTCTAAGTACTTGATACTTTTACCAACTTGTTTATTCCAGTGGAGGAGAATTTTTTTCACAAAATTCTTCAAATGTAAAATTAATGCTACAAAACAGCTACTGTTAATACTCAATCAAAATAATTTTATTTGTAAAAAAAAATTTCACTTTAAATAGGTCATCCTCATTTTTTCCCAGCCTAATAGGGAATAGACAAGAAACTAAGGAAGTGGTTAAAAGCAGTCATCTAAGTCAGCCATGAAACACTAAAAGATAGTCTCTATCATTTTCCTTCATACAAATAAAATAACAGACTGGCCCATTTTGCTTTAATTTTCCTTTAATGCCAACACCACACACACTTACACACACTAGCACACATAAACACAACAGACAGGATAAGATGTTATTATTTAAGCTCCTCATTCATCCAAATCATAAGATGAGGTTGAAACTTTACTAATCTCTCTCCCTGGCTAGAGTATAGCTTGTTGATTTAAGTTCTTTCTACACTGGTGTTTATATACCTGTGCTTGTTTATAGCTTCTAACAGAACCCTGGGGTAAAGAATTTCTGTGAGAATTACTAACCAAGGAAAACAATAAGAAAAATTTTTAGATGAAGATAAAACTTACTTTAAAAGTAAGATATGAGAAGTGATGTGATTAACTTGCCTTAGGGTACTTACAGAAAGCTGTAAAGAATGCCTTACTATTCCTCCAATTAACTATCAATCAGTGGTATTCTATAATATAATTCAAACATTCCTATAAATCTGCTCACTGTAAATGTCCTGAAACACATACTCATAACTTTTCCCAAACTATTTTAGAATAATACCTGCATCTAAATTCACCACAAGTCATAATAAGCTGTTTTGTATAACTTTGCAGTCACAGAAGTGAGCGATACCTTTTGTACTGTTATGTTATCTATTCAACCCTATGAAATTGAACCTTCAGCTCTGAGTTGTATAATGCAATCCACCTTTGTTCTGAATTACAGACAAATGTGCCTTCCAAAGAGCAATTTTTAATCTGTTTTGCATGTAAAATTGATTGACTCCATACTGATTGAAATGTGGTTTAAATGCAATTTGTCCCTACCAGGGAGAATATTGATGAATGCCTATTGACACGCCACTTTATCACTTAGTCCAAATGTTTTAAGGCAAGAATTGACAAGTATCTTTATTACTGTCTGAACACAGGAGAATAGACAAAATTTTATTGAGTTTCTGATGAAATTAATGTTTGAACTAGGAAAGAATTATTCAATGACTATAAAAATATAGACAACCAGGTTCTCAATATAACAAAATAAAAAATAATAATTTTAAGGTCTATAGTGGAACCTTGACTTATAAACGCAACTTGTTCATGAAGACTAGTTATAACTCAAATAGGTTATAAGTCAAGAATAGTTTTCTGATAGGAAATAATGGGATATTTCTTTCTATTTCACAGTATCTATTGTACATTTTGTTCCTTATTTATACTTTCAGTTTTTCACACCAGAGAAACAAGGTGATATTTACATATGTGTGTCCAATTTATTTCACTAAAGTATGGTCTCAAGAAACATCCATTTATCCATAAATGTCTCAAATTTATCCTTCTTTATGACTCCTAGCCATATAACAGTCAAGATTCCAGAAATTCAACACAAGAACAAAATATTAAAAGCAGGTAGAGAAAAGAAAGAAATCACATACAAAAGAAAGCTCATCAGAATAAGAGCAGACTTCTCAACACAAACCCTCAAGTCAAGAAGAGCCTAGAGTGAAGTATTTCAAGCCCCAAAAGCAAACAACCTCCAACCCAGGTTGATATATCCTGAAAAACTATCTTTCAAAATTAATTGGAGAAATAAGACCCTTTCACAACAAAGAACACCTGAGGAACTTCATGAATACCAAACCAGCACTCAAAAAAATTCTACACAAAATACTAAAAAAAGACAATGAGGATTACAACTCCATGAACCCCAACAGAATGAAGCCTTCAGGCAAGGGAAGAAAGTATGCGTCCCCACGCGGTCGGCAGACCTCCGGGAGGAGAAACCCGGGTCGCCGCCGCCGCCTTCTCCTCCTCCGTCTCCTGGTCTCCGTCGCCTCTCGGGGAAAGAGGGAGACACAGTGGGCGTCGCGGGTCCCCGCCGGATGCACCCCCTCCGCGTCTCGGGCTGCGCCGCCTCGCGGGGATGAAGCACCGGCCGTGAAGATGGAGGTGACCTGCCTTCTACTCCTGGCGCTGATCCCCTTCCACTGCCAAGGACAAGGAGTCTACGGTAAGAGCCCGCGTCCCACTGCACGCCGGCTTAGCCCCGCTCGGAAACTTTGCGAGAGATGCAAAGTGCGCCCTGCCGGGGCTTGGTGGAGATCTTGGCTCCGACTGGGAGTGGAGACCGCGTCCCGCCCTCCTCGGGCGCAAGGGGACGGAGCTAGTGGCTTCGGCGTATAGGGTCGTGTAGGGTCTGGCGTGAAGCCGCCTTCCCAAATCCTGCCAGGTGCAGGAGTGACTTGGAGCCCAGTGGGCTCGGAAACCCCACGCCCCGGGCTGGAGCAGCTACTTGCACGGAGACCGCGTCCTCTGGCTCAGCTTCCGGAGGGGAAGCGAGCGCAGAGC